CAGCCGTTTCGTCCTGGTCTAGGGCTCATTAGCAGTGCTCATCCACAACTCCTGCAATTCGCAGGAGTCTAACTGTGTCTAACTCTGATTGACCTTGAGATTTTGTGCCACCGCACTCATTTGTCTTTAGTAGTTACTGCCGACACTCAACAGGGTTGAACTCTACTGGTCACGTCTTCTCACTAGAATTCCGAGAATTTCTTCACGAAGCTAGTCATGAGTGAGCACATTCTACGATTTTTCAATTAGAGTTATGGAGATTAGTGTTTGTTACACATTGAAATCACTCATGGTTAGACCACCACCATTGTTAGAATCTAACATCGTTGGATGTCGGCCCAGTGGTCCAGAGGTTAGGCGTTCGCGCACAAGACCGAATGTCCTGTGAGTTGCAGGAGTCGTGGATGTGCACTGCTGATGAACCCCGTACCAGGACGAAACGGCCGTCCAGTGCATCCAGGTTTCTAATGGTGGTCTAACAATGATTGGTTAATGATTTCAATATGCAAAAAACATTAGTCTCCATAACTCTAATTAAGAAATCATAACAATATTTTTACCAATGTAATCGAAATAAAGAAACAAAAAAAAACAATTGATCTTACTTCAACAATTGCACCTGAAGCATGATCACTTAATTGTGCAAAATTATTGTCTGTTTTAAATTCGGCTATTTGACAATCGATTAAATTCATTAAGGATTTCACTAAGTTTATATCACTAGTTGGTGATAATTCCTTTTTTTGCGCATATTGATAAATAGGATTTAATAGAATAAAAGTAAAATGTATTATCATTTTTTGTTTTTTGTTTTTGATGAAGTCATTTGAAAAGAAAGCATGAAAGGGAATCACAAATCAAGTAATGTTAAGATTTAATTTCAAGAAAAATATAAGTTTTGTTATGAAAAAAATGTACACAGTGCACAACTAGTGATAATTCTCAAAGTGTTGTGATTCAATTAATTTGTTTTTAGGTTGCTCTCAATCAAAACTCATGGATTTGATAAAGCTAGTAATATTCCAGTGATAGTTATTCAAGACTACCTGCTTTATGTCAGTCTTTAAATGAAATGTAAATGAATTACTAAAGTAATGACTAGACAATGCTACATGATGTACATGTCCTATAATGAAAATTCTATTTCTCAGAGTGTGTAAACAGTATGGTAGTTACCATTTTGCCTCTCTGACTACTAATTTCAAAGTAAAGCCGTACAGAGACAAAAATCATTGCCTTAGCTAAAAGCATTATGTCGGAGATAATTTGTCGATTATGACTGGTAGTGTAGTGAGGGTTACTGATACCTCACGTAGTTGACAGTCGTAAACTTGGTCTTTTGTTTGACATTTACCAAATTTCATCTTTCTTTGTGTCAAAAATTTGATGCCACAATAAAATAAATTAAAGGTGACCGAATGGGAAGGTCATTTGATGACTAGCAATGTCCTAGAGGACGAATGTATTTCATTGGTCAAGAAATGGATTCATTTGTATGTCAAACAGACTTTTTCTTATACTCTTTTCTTCTTACTGAATTGGTCAGTTTCGGTATTTAGGGAGTCTTGCACTCAGATCTTAAACTAAGCTCATCATCACAAAATTGTAAACCCTTCTTAGTGCATTATACTCCTGTGAGTGACATATGCATCAGAATCAGTGGAAATTCTAACCATTCTCTGTAAACAACAAATTTTTTGACGTTTGCAGTTCAGAATAACCTCACTTGGTCAACCACTGAAAACTAGAAAGGACTGGACAGATATTTCCTCTGAATATAGGACCAGACTATGCGCGGGACCCAGGGACATTCTGCCTTTCGAGGAGTGCTTAGACTTAAAACCAATGAGTTGGCATATATTGATTAAAATTCCATGACATTTCTTAATCACTATCCTATCCAATGGAATGGTAAGTGTCTTACTACTAATATGGTTGCACTCCATTAATTAAGGGTATCCGTTAGAATTCAGGTGATTTTGTAGATGCCTGCTACCAAGAAGTCCTATCTCACGAGGAACCAGTTGTCAAATATTTCCCAGTTTTCAACTAATCAATCTTCACAAACCACTAATATTAACTGCTGAGGATGTATCTAAAAAAGAAATAACTAGTTAAAGTAAGTAATTCTTTTTCATGAGTCCTTGATACGCAATTTGTATACCAATAGGCAACTGTGTTAATGAACTTGAAGTTTGCAAACAGAGTAGCTCGAATCCACTACTTCAAATATTAACATGTATATGACAAGACATAAAAGAAGTCGTTACAACCGTTCATGGATGGATTTACTGAATTTAGTTCTTATTGAGCTGTGCTAGACGTGAATAAAACACGTTTTCATTGAAATTTAATTTTAAATGCTTCTCCAGTTGACATAAATTCTTAGTGAAAACTTTTCTTTAGGACGAGATAAACTTCAGATGAATAGCAAAAGTTGACCTATAGAAACAATTTTTTCAAAGAAAAAATTACACTTACTTTAACACCTCCTTTTCGAATTAATGCAATACCAGCATCAACAAATCGTTCAAACATATCAATCCAAATATTTTTATGTAATTGTTGAATATAGCTAGGCAATTTATTCATCCAACTACGTAACAATGGTCGCCAACCTAAACTTGCCGGTTCTAAATAAATCATACCACAACGAGATACAGTAGCCGGTGATGCAGCTTCTAAATCCATTGGTTCAAAGATTAAATTAGTTGTCGGTGCTAACTGAATAATTTCACCTGACATTAAACATAATTTCTTATTATCATCTAATACAGTATTCATATTCTCTATCCATACAGCATCTACTGGTCCATCAAATATTAACCATTTACGATCTGGTGTTGTAGATGTGGCAAATGCTCTGTATGAAACAGCTAATATACCATCTGACCATTCATGTGATACAGGATCGAATTGACCATAGAGTTGTCCCATTGTTATAGCTTTTGGATTAATTACAGTAAATTGTACTTTATTTTCTTCCATAAGACCCTGTTATGTGGATACAAATAAGCAATAATGTAAATCAGCAATTATTTGAGTGGTAATATACTAGTAATAGTAGTAGTAGTAGTAATAGTAGTAATAATAATAATAGTAATAATAATAATAATAATAATAATAGTAGTAGTAATAGTAGTAGGCCTTAAGAAGTCTTCAACAATTCTTAACGGAAATCAGACGCTAGGTAATATAGAAAATCCGTCAATAAGCATTTAAGTGTTCGATAAAAGTCAAAGAATTTTAAACCAATGGAGAAAGTTAATAACTCTGATGAATACCATGCTCTGGATATATTTGTTTTATTCGTCAGCAATCTTGAAACGTACTCAATAAATGATCTAAAGGTTTATCAAAAAATATAGTTTCTTTATGTACCTCTGTTATCTAATTAGTCTATGAGGTAGTATATCGTTATTGATTGGACTGCCTAGGTCATAAATTACGTACAAACAATCATCATCACCAACGAAATGCAGTATGTTATAATTTACGATTGTAACTAATTGTTGGGGAAGTTAGATCCTCATAACTCACTTGATAAAGGTCATAATTTTGGATTTTGCGTTTTCGCGCATGGGCTGATCAGTTAACCTTGTGATCACATTTCCCACCCGGAAAATCCCTGACTATTATTGGTTGATGTCGAGTTTTAGTAGGCTATTATGTGGCTATCCCAAGGTCGTTTCTATCATGTATCAGTAAGCTCAATTTGTGTGCTTGTCGACCTCGTATTTATGTGTACTTGTAGAATACACCTTCAACACCTTATCAAGACTTCTCACTATAGTTTGCAAGGCCCGGAACAATCGAATCAGGATAGCCTATCGTGTCACTGAATCATTTGTCTTCCCTCTCGTTTACCGAGTAAGGTGAACTCGTAATAGTTTTAAGCATATCATTTGACGAGCGTATCACTTAACAATTAGCAAAAATGATTCCTAAATCAGTTTTTAAAACAAAACTGTCAAGGATTTGGATAGTATTTAAACTGTGTTTGAATAACTATTATTATTATATCGGTTTAATTTACCTTTTCACAAATTTCACCCAAAGCAGCTGCTAATACACGATATGAACTAGTTTTCCCACCGAATGGTTCACCAACAATCATAAAACCATGTCGTACAATCATCATTTCATAAACTTGTTGTATTTTCTCTACGAAAAATTCAGTATATTGTAAATTCATACGATCACAAGCATTTTTTATCGCATTATTTAATATTTCATAATCTGGTGTTGGACGTTCAACACCAGGGAATAGATCTGAAGCTATTCCACTGAATAATGGTAAATCATCGTTGAGAAATTTCGGTAGATTCACATCAATAATTGAACGTAACATCAAAACATCTTCATCTTCATCTGGATATTTTAACTAAAAAAGAAACCGAAAACGAAATAAAAATTTTCTGTGAATAAATGAATTAAATTATATCTATTATTGTATGATTCTTTTTTAAAACAATAATGAGTTTAAACATTACATGGATGAAAATTGAAGGTAAAATGTAAACAAGGCTTCTTATCATTTTTAAACAAATGATTTGTTTGATGTAATCAATCGAAATATCATTCTGCCTATGATTATCAAAGCTTGAGTACGCAAGAGATATAACGTATTATGTTCGATATGGGCAAATAAAATTGTAGAGGCAAAACTTTCAGAACCAATACCTTAATTATTCAGTGTACATATTTTTATTGGATATTTGGTTAAAAATTCAGTTCGAAACATTTCTATATTAACTTAATTGCCAACTTTCATTTAAGTTAGTGAAGGCTGATATTTCTTTTGTAAGTTCTTCAACTATAACTAATTAATTATGCACTTGATACTCACCTTAGTGCCGAAATGACCTAGTTAAGGATAAATTGTGTTCTTTTATTTATAGTACGTTAAAGTCTTTGTAAATGATGAATATTATTAGGTGAGTTTTTGAGGTATATTTAAAAGAACGTAAATTGATTTGATGTTCTAGTATTTTGAGTGGTTAAAATTTGGCTAAAATTTACTTAATACACTAAAACACCCTTCGAAATTGCAAATTAATGATTAGTTTTAGTTTGAAATCACTGATCAGAAGTGTATATTCATGACTGTACAAGTGATTGAGTCAACAGCTTCAAGATTTTGATGATATCTATCCAACAACCTGTCCAACCTTTGATAAACAAATCTCTGACATAAGTTACCTTTAATCCGCATAAAATATATAATTGTTTAGTCTCATCTAAGTTTATACTATTACATACTTACTTTCAGATTACCAGCTGCTGTTAGAACCGATTTCACAGCTCTCATACCATAATCATAATGTGATTGACTAGATAATTGTTCTGAGCATAAACGATAAGTAGCCACAATCTTTATAGCCAGTGGACGTGCATTCACAAAACCACATGAATATAATGAAATCTCTGCAATCATTGCATAATCTGGTACCATCATAGCTACTGAACGAAATAAAGCCTAGAGTATAATAGAAATATAAGTCAAATAGAATAGAACTCGATATATGTCGAATCTTAAAAAAAGACTCTAATTATGAGTAATAATGATAGATCTTTATTAATGTTATCATTTGAGGATTTAGTGTACATGCAGTTATCGTTGTGAATGAATTTGTAAGCATTAAATTTCGTTATAAATGCATGAAGCTGACTAGTAGCAAGCTATATATATATTCACTTTATAAGAAACAAGGAATATTTAAAATTTAGAAGAAATCAGTTACATCCGAAGAATAATTAAATCAAACCTTTCTAATCTACAACTTAGACCAAAACATGGCACAAATCTATGAAGTCACTGACAAGTGGACTGAGTCATGTCGGTAAGTGTCGACTACCTGGTTGGGGTCCGCGATAAGATGATAGTAATCGATGGTTAGAGACTGTGAATGACATGGCTCAAAAACGTTTGCGATGATGCAGGTACATTCATTATTTGTCTTCTCTCAAATCCTAAACTTTTTAATTCTTTG